ATCAGAGAAAGACAATTATATGGTTTCACTAGTGTGGAACATAAGGAATAATGCAGAGGATGAAAGGGGTAAGGGGGGGGAAACTGGGAAGAAATTAGAGAGGGAGATAAACCATATGAGACTCTTGACTCCAGGAAGCAAACTGAAGGTTGTGGAAAGGGAGGTATTTGGAAGGGTGAGGTAGCTGGGTGATGGGCATTAAAGAAGGCATGTGATATGATGAGCACTGGGTGATATACTCAAGTAATGAACATTATATCAAAAACTAATGATGTACTACTATACCTTGGCTAATTGAATTTAAATAAAATAAAAAGTAAAGGTCCTTGTAGAGAGCATTATAGTTAGGTATTGTTAGTTTATCCATTTTGGCCACTCTATATCTTTTTAGGTCTTTGCATTTAAACTTAAAGTAGTTATTAATAGGGAAGGGCTCACCATTGCCATTTTTAAAATTGTCTTTCCTACAGTTCTTTTGCCCTCTACTTTTTTCTTTCATAAATATATATATATTTATTTTATACACATATATAATATATATATTATCTTATATTACGCACTTTGATTTGTTTCTCTTTGTGTTTTATGTTTATTCTGTAGGTATTTCCTTTATGGTTACCTTGGAACTTACATAAAATATTTTGTAGTTATAATATTCTATTTAAATTAGTAACAACTGACCTTTAATCACAAACAGAACTCAATTTTATTTCTTCCACATGAACATGCTTTATGTTAATGTCACAATTTACATCTTTTTATGTTGTATGCTGATGAACATTTTTATGTGTATAGTATTTTAATACTTTTGTCTTTTAATTTTTATACAAAAAATGAGTGATTTACTCACCACTATTTTACATGTATTATACTCACCATAGCATTATAGTGTTCTGTATTTGTCTACATTATTTACCTTTACAATGAGTTTTATATTTTAATATGCTTTCATATTACCATTTAGCATCCTTATGTTTCATCCTGAAGAACTCTTAACATTTCTTGTAATGGAGGTCTCCTAGTAATGAACTCTCAACTTTTGTTATTCTGGTAGTCTTAATTGCTTGTTATTCTTTCATTTTTGAAAGATAGTTTTGCTAAGTAATAATGATTCAACAATTCTCTACATCACTCAGTGCTCATCACAGTAAGTGTAGTCCTTTTTTAATCTTAATTCCACGGTAGTTAACATACAGTGCTATATTAGTTTTAGCTGTACAATACAGTGATTCATCAGTCCCATATATTACTCAGTGCTCATCAAGGTCTTCATCTTTTTCTTGATTAAGTATTGTGTTGCTGTAAACCTTTGAATACTTTTCTGAGTTTAGCAAGTTGATTCTGGTAGTTTTTGCCCTTTTTTTTTTTTCCTTTGTATAGAAAAACAGATGCTTTTTTACTTCCCTGATCTTCCACTATCATTGTCATTTAAAACACCTTAAAATGTAAGAATTTGAGTAATGATATGAGAAGGAAGGAACCTAATGAAAGTAAAATTCTAAATTTTTCACATCTTTTCAATAAGGCTTTCTTAATTGTTTATAAAATATTAATGTTATTACTATGTAACATGATAGTTTGTGTTCAGTTTTTAAAGAATGTAATTTTATATTGAAATTTCCTTATGTGATGTAGTCTTTATATATATTATTTCCAAGGCCACATTGTATTTTTAGTAGTTACATAGTATTCTTTTTAATAGCCGTATAGTAGTCTTTTAAATTAATATGCGGCTGTTAACTTGTCATTTTCTTTTTAATTTTTTTTAGCATTTACCATCAATGCTAAATAAGTAGCCTTATTTAGTTGTTTTTGAAAGACTTTTCCACTTTGGAATATATTAAAAAAATTTTTTTTTAGATTTTATTTATTTATTTGCCAGAGATCACAAGTAGGCAGAGAGGCAGGCAAAGAGAGAGAGGAAGGGAAGCAGGCTCCCTGCTGAGCAGAGAGCCCGATGCGGGGCTTGATCCCAGGACCCTGGCATCATGACCTGAGCTAAAGGCAGAGGCTTAACCCACTGAGCCAACCAGGTGCCCCCCCCCAGAATATATTTTTAAATATAATTTTCAAAAATATATTTTAAGATTATAAATAATCTTATGTATAGTCTTTTTCTGCACCTCAATAGATGCAGAAAAGCATTTGACAAAATTCTACATCCACTTATAATAAAGACTCTAAACAAACTGGGCATAGAGGGAACATACTTAACATATATAACAAAGGCCATATATGACAAGCCTGCAGCTAACATCATATTCAATAGTAAAAAGCTAAAAGCTTTTCCTCTAAAATCAGGAATAATACAAGGATGCCCACTCTTGCTGCTTTTATTTAACACAATTATCAATTAGGCAAGAAAAAGAAGTAAAAAGCATCAAAATAAAAAAGGAAAAAAATATTTACAGATGACATAATATTATATATAAAATACTATAAAGATTCCACTAAAAAACTTTTGTAACTATTAACTCAGTAAAGTTGCAGGACGTAAAGTCTGTCTACAAAAATCCATTGTGTTTCTATACACAAACAAACTGTCAGAGATGCGCCTGGGTGGCTCAGTTGGTTAAGCATCTGACTCTTGATTTCAGTTCAGGTCATGCTCAGGGTTGTGATATCAAGCCCTGCATTGGGCTTGTACTGAGCATTGAGCCTTTTGGGGATTTTCTTTCCCTCTCCCTCTGCCCCTCCCTCCCTGCTTGTGTTCTCTCTCTCTCAAAAATAAAAGAAAGAAAGAAAGAAAGAGGAAAACACTATAATTACATCAAAAAGAATAAAATACCTAGAAGCAAAATTAACCAAGGGGGTAAAGCACCTGTACACTGAAAACTGTAAGACATGAAAAGGAGTGAATAAGACATAAATAAGTGGAAGATACTCCATTAATAACGATATTGTTAATATTGTTACCCAAAACAATCTACAGGTTCAGTGCAAATCCCATCAAAAATTTAATGGCATTTTTCACAGAAATAGAACAGACAATCTTAAAATTTGTATGGAACTGCAGTAGTCCCTAAATAGTCAAAGCAATCTAGAGAAGGTGTAAGCATCAAGCTTCCTTATTTCAAACTATGTTACAAAGCTAGTCATCAAAAATAGTATGGTATTGACATAAAAACAGACACAGAACAGTGGAACAGTATGGAGAGCCTAAAAATAAATGCATGTATATATGATCAGTTAATTTACAATAAAGGAGCCAAGAATACAATGGAGAAAGACAGTCCTGTCAATAAATGGTGTTGGGAAAACTGTATCACTCTCTCATACCATATACTAAAATCAACTCAAAATGGCTCAAAGACATTAACATGTAAGACTTGAAACCACAAAACTGCTGGATGAAAATACAGGCATACAGTAGGCTCTTTGACCTCAATCTTGGAGATGGTTTTGGGGATTTGACACCAAAAACAAGGCAACAAAAAGCAATGATAAATAGGTGTGGGGCTACATCAAACTAAAAAGCTTCACAGCAAAGAAAACAATAAAATGAAAAGTAACCCACTGAATACGAGAAAATATTTGCAAATCATGTCTGATAAGGTGTCAATATCCAAAATATATAAAGAACTCATGTGACTCATAGCAAAAAAAATCCAATTTAAAAAATGGACAAAGGATTTTAATAGACACTTTTCAAGAACAGAAAGCTAGATGGCTAACAAGTACATGAAAAGAGGCTCAACATCACTTACCATGTGGGAAATATAAATCAGAACCACAATGAGATACCACCTCATACCTGTTAGAATGGCTGTTTTCAAAATGCCAAGAAATAACAAGTGTTGAGAAGGATGTAGAGAAGAGGGAACCCTTGTGCACTGTTTGTGGAAATGTTAATTGGTGCAACCACTATGGAGAACAGTATGAAGTTTCCTCAAAATTTAAACATAAAACTACCATATGATTCAGCAGTTCCATTTCTGGGTATTTACTTGAAGGAAACGAAAACACAAACAAAGAGATATCCACTCCCATGTCTGTTTGTGGCATTATTTCTAATAACCAAGGTATAGAAGCAACCTAAGTGTCCTTCAGTGGATGAATGGATTTAAAAAAATATTGAGTTGATCTTCCTACCGACCTGGATTTTTTGCCTTGGGATTATCATATGAATGCAAAATTTCTGTCTTTTTAAAACTTCTTTGTGGCCTCTTTGATAATAGCAGTTTAGCCTTTATCCTAACTCAGTGTCCTCAAAGTCTGGTCCTCTGACTAGCAGCATCATTAATATCACCTGGGAATGTGTTAGGAATTCAAGTTCTCATCAACTAATGAATAGATAAGATGTCTATATACCCAATGGATTATTATTCAGCCATAAGAATGAAGGAACTCTTATTGTTTGTGACAACATGGACTGGACTGTTTGTTATTAGTATTTAAATTTCTTGAAGACAAAAGTTAAATAATTCTAATCTTATATTTTTCTTTTTTCTTTTTTTTTTTTTAGATGTATTTACTTATCTTAGAGGGAGAGTACAGATGCAGGGGGAGGGGCACAGGGAGACAAGGCAAGCAGACTGCCTGCTGAGTGAGGAGCCCAATATGAGGTCCAAGCTCAGGACCCCAGAATCATGACCTGAGGCAAAATCAAGAATTAGAGACTCAACTGACTGAGCCACCCAGGAGCCTCAATATTATGTCATAACATCTACACAGTACCTATTCTGATCCACAAATACAGTAACAGTCTAATTGCAATGTGAATGTATTAGAATATAGCAAATTATTTATGTTTTTATTATCAATATAATCCTTATCCATTGTAGAAAATTTGTATACAAAAGCAGAAAAGAAAAAAAAAGATAGCTTATCCCAATATCTAGATGTAATTATTGATATTTTCCTAAACTATTCTGTAGGAGATAGTGCTAATTCTTTTGAGTAATCTACAAGCAGGCTGAATTTAAGATACTAATTTACAATATCTTATAATGCTCTCTCACCAATGCTCAGCTTCTTTTATGTCTTCTACTTAATCATAGGTTGTTACCCTCCAACTAGAGGAAATGTTTATATTCACGGATTTGACATCTCAAAGAACATAATTGAGATTCGAAAAAACTTGGGCTTCTGTCCACAACATGACATGTTGTTTAATGACTTGACACTCTCAGAACACCTTTTTTTCTACTCTGTGGTGAGTCAGAAATGTTTTAAAACTATACAGTATATTTATTTTTTCTTTTGACATATAGACATGTGAAGTTTAATATCAGCTAGCACCACAGAATATTTTCATTACTTCAAAACACTCCCTCATGCTATTCCTACACTTGATCTTAGCCAAAAGGCTGAGAAGTGATTCCCTCATGCTATTCCTTTGTAGTCATCCCTATCCCACCCTAGTAATCACTGGTCTATCCTAATCACTTATTGAGAATACCATATAAATGGAATCATATGGTATGTAACCTTAAAAGATTAGCTCCTTACACAGAGCATAATGCCTTCAAGATCCATCCATACTTGTACGATCAGTATACATTTCTTTTAATTGTTGGGTAGTATTTCATATTTAGATGTAATGCAGTACACCAATTAAAGGACATTTGGGTTGTTTACATTTTGAGTATGAATAAAGCTGCTCTGAATTTCATGTGAAGTTTTTTGTGTGTAAACATAATTTTTCATTTCTCTCAGAATGAGATTACTGTATCATATTATAAGAAACTATATAGTTTCTGTATAGTCACTGGAGTGACTGAACCATTTTGCACCCCCACCAGCAATGCAGGAAGATTTCAATTGCTCTGTATCCTTGCCAGAATTTGGTATTGTAATACTTTTTAACACCTTTTTTTTGAAAGGGAGAGAGAGCTCAAGCAGGGATGGGGACAGAAGGAGAGGGAGAGAGAGACTCTCAAGCAGACTCCACACTCAGTGCAGAGCTTGACATAGGGTTCAATTTCATGACCCTGAGGTCATGATCTGAGCTGAAATCAAGAGTCAGATGTTTAACCAACTGAGTCACCTAGGCACCCCTTTACATCTTAACATTTTAATCATTCTAGTAGATGTATAGTTGTATATCCTCCTGGTTTTAATTTGCATTTCATGAATGGCTAATGGTGTTGATTATTTTCACATGATTATTTCCCATTTATACCCTCTTTGATGAAAGGCCCTTTGTACACTTTTAAAATCTGGGTTTATTTTGTTACTTAATTTTTTATAGTTCTTTACATATTCTGGATATGTATCCTTTGTTGAATAATGTGCTTTGCAAATACTTTCCCTATTTCTGTAGTTTGTCTTTTCATTTACTTGGAAATGCTTTTTACAGAGCAAAGGTTTTTAATACTGAAATCCAATTTATCACATTTTATCACATTTTTTCTCAAAGGATCCTGCCTTTTCTGTCTTTTCTAGAACTCTGTTCCTAACCCCAAGACATGAAGATTTATTCTGTATTTTCTTCTAAATTTTTTTTATTTTCATGATACACTTAGATCTATGGTCCATTTGTGGATTAGTCTTTGCTTAAAGGTGTAAAATGTAGATCTAAGTTCATTGTCTTGCATATAGATGATCAATTGTTCTAAAACCATTTTTCAAAAATACTGTTCTTTCATCTTTACTTGCTTTTTGCATTGTCAAAGATCAAATGGTCATATTTCTCTGGACTTACTTATCAACTCTCTTTTAATGTGCTATTGATCCACACTGCCCTGATTTGTATATCTTTATGGTAATTCTTAATATGGGATAATGCTATTCATCCAACTATTTTTCTTTTTCAAAAGTGTTTCAGCTATTATAGCTGTTTGACCCTTCCAGATAATTTGTGTATTATCTCGTATGTGTCTACAACAGTTGTGCTGTGAGTTTGGTATTAGATTAAATCTGTATATCACTTCGGAGAAAGTTAATATTGTTACCATGTTGTGATTTCAAATCCTTAATCATGGTATTTCTCTTTGTTAATTTAATTATTTGCTATCATTACCATTTTTAGTTTTCAGTATACAATTCCTTTATATTTTTTTTCATTATTTGGAGACTTAAAAAGTTTTTTGATTTCCAGTTGTTCATTGTTTGTACATAGAAAAATGATTGATAATTGTAGGTTAACCTATTATTCTTTGACCTTACTAAGCTCACTTAATGGGCTTAGGAGGGGGTTTTTTGTAGATTCCTTGGGTTTGTGCATAGACAATCATATTATTGGAGAATGGGGATAATTTCTTTGTGCCAGTATGTTTACCTTTTATTTCTGTCTTTTTTTTTTTTTTTTTTTTTTTTTTTGCATGACACACTGGCTAGGAACAGCATAATGTGTGGGCATCCTTGACTTGCCTCTCATCTCAAGGGATAGCATTCTGGTTTTCACCATTAAATTTTTTTTCTGCAGATACCCTTTATCACTGTGAGGAAGTTCCTTTCCTTGTTTTTTTAATTTGATTTTAATTCTAATATAGTTAGCATACAGTGTTATATTAGTTTCAGGAGTACAACATAGTGATTCAACAATTCTCTACATTAGGGTACTGCTCATCACACTAAGTGTTAATTTCCTTCACCTGTTTCAGCCACCCCTGTTCTAGTTATCATCTATTCTCTGTAGTTATTTAAGAGTCTGTTTTTTGGTTTGTCTCTTTTTCCCTTTGGTCATTTGTTTCATTTCTTATATTCCATATAAGTGAAATAATTTGATATTTGTCTTCCTCTGACTGACTTATTTCTCTTGGCATCCATCCATGGTTTTGCAAATGGCAAGATTCCATTCCTTTTTATTGCTGAGTAATATTCCTGTGTGTGTGTGTATATGTGTGTGTATCACATTTTCTTTATGTGATTCAATGTTATTTAATGCCCTGTTCATGTGGCTTCTAAAATGATCTGCATTCTCTTTCTAATGTAAGCATTTATTGCCATGATTTTTCCTCCTAAGCACTCCTTTGTTGTACCCCACAAATTTTGATACAATTTTTTATATTTTCATTTTTATTCAGTTCAAAGTATTTTCTACATTCATTGAGATTATTCTGTGTCTCATCATTTGCAAGTATGATCTTTAATGTACAAGTGATGGGAAGTTGTCCTACTTTCTTGCTATTATGCTTAATTTAATTCTATTTTGGTCAGAGATCATATTTTGTGTAATTATAAGTGTTTTGAAATTGCTAGGGTTTTATGACTGAGGATATGGTCTGTCTTGGTTACTATTCCATATGTACTTGAGAAGAATATGTTTTCTGCTGTTTGGTTGGAATTTTCTGTAAACATCAGTTAGATTCAATAACTTGTTCTTGTTTCATTCTTCTGTATATTTGCTGATTTCTGTCTGGTAATTCTGTTACTTAGGAGTATTTCTGAAATATCCTATTATAGTCATGTATTTTTCTATTATTCATTTTCATTCTATTCATTTTTGTCTCCTGTGCTTTAAGTTCTATTGTTAGATATATACACATTTAGAGTTATTATGTCTTATTATTCTCTTATGAACATGCAATGTCCCTCTTTTGTCTCTTGTAATTTTTTTGTTCTGAAATCAACTTTATCTGATATTAGTATAACCATTCCAGCTTTCTTCTGATTTGTGCTTGTTTTCAATTAAGTTTAATTAGCCAACATATAGTACATTAATGGTTTTTGATGTTGTGTTCAATGATTCATTAGTTGCATATAATACCCAGTGTTTTGTGTTTTCATGGTGTATCTTCTTTATACACTTCACCTTAAACTAACCTATATAATTAAATTTTAAGTGAGTTCATTGTAGACACTGTATAAAACAGTCATGTTTTCTATACAATCTGAAAATTTCTTTTAATTGATGTGTTTAGATAATTTAGTTTTAATGTAACTAGTAAACTTATATTTAAATCTATCCTTTTATTATTCTCACTTTTTTTTCTCTGTTTGCCCTTTCCAGTTTTATTTTGGGTTATTTGTTATTTTTTTAGTATTCCATTTCAGTTTATCAATTGTGATGTTTACTATATCTCATATATACTTCCAGTGATTGCTCTAGACATTGCAAAGTACAGCCTTAGCTTTTCACAGTTATTTAGAATCAATATTTTCTGACTTTATTTGGAATGTAGAAACCTTACCAATTACTTGTAGGTTCTTTTTTTTTTTTTTGGTTTTCATTGTTTTTGCACCACACCCAGTGCTACATGCAATCCGTGCCCTCTCTAATACCCACCACCTGTCTCCCCCAACCTCCCCCACCCCGCCCCCGCTCCTTCAAAACCCTCAGTTTGTTTTTCAGAGTCCATAGTCTCTCATGGTTCACCTCCCCTTCCAATTTCCCTCAACTCCCTTCTCCTCTCCATCTCCCCTTGTCCTCCATGCTATTTGTTATGCTCCGCAAATAAGTGAAACCATATGATAATTGACTCTCTCTGCTTGACTTATTTCAGTCAGCATAATCTCTTCCAGTCCCGTCCATATTGCTACAAAAGTTGGGTATTCATCCTTTCTGATGGAGGCATAATACTCCATAGTGTATATGGACCACATCTTCCTTATCCATTCGCCCGTTGAAGGGCATCATGGTTCTTTCCACAGTTTGGCGTACTTGTAGGTTCTTTATCCTCTGCTGTATATGCTATAGTTGTCATATATTACATGTAAAAATACTGAAAACATCAGTATTTTTAAATATTTAAAATATTTAAAACATCTTTAAAATTTTTAAAACACCTTTAAACATACTAGATAGTTTTAAATGAATACTATATTTTTCATTTAAAACTATCTAGTATGTTTAAAGAACCATAAGAAAATAAGAGTTATTATATTTACTGTTCCTTTACCATTCATAATGTTTTGGGTTTTCTATATTGTTTCTCTTCTGTTTGAAAAATATTCTTTATCAGTTCTTTTAGGCCAGTGCTCTTGGCTAGTTTCTCTTAGTTTTCCGTCACTTGAAAGTAACTTCAATTTACTACCATTTTTCCAGAATATTTTTGCTTGACATAGAAATCTGGGTTAACAGTTCTTTTCCTTCAGTAGTTAAAATTGTTACTCCACTGCTTCCTAGATACCATGGTTTCTGATGAGACCTACAAAGTCATCTGAATTGTTTCTCCTATAAATAATTTGTCTTTTTTCTCTGGGGGCTCTCAACAATTTTTTTGTCTTTACTTTCAGCAATTTAGTTAGGATTTGTTTGGTGCAGATTGCTTTGAGTTTATCTGAATGGAGCTTTAGTCAGCTTCTTCAATCTGTAGGATTATGTCTTATTCCAAACCTCAGAAGTTTTCAGTCATTATTTCTTCAAATATTATTTCAGCCTTATATTTTCTTCTCTCCTTCTGGAACTTCAGTGACGTGAATGTTTGACATTTTGTTATTGTCCCAAAAGTCCCTTGGGCATTGTTTTTTTTTAAAGTTTTTATTTAAATTCCAGTTAGTTAACATACAATGTCACAGTGGTTTCAGGTGTACAATTTAGTGATTCAACACTTACTCATAACTGTTCATTTTTTTAATCATTTATCTCTCTGTTGTTCAGACTGGATAATTTTTATTGATCTACCTTCTAGTTCATTTACCTTTTATAATTTCTATTCTACTACTGTTGAGTATATCTAATGAGCTTTTTGTTTGGGTCACTGGATTTTTTTGTTTTAAGATTTCCATTAATTTTTTTTCCTTTATCTTGATACTTTCTACTTTAATTCCAGCATCTGTGCCATCCTAACATTGATATCTGTTGATAGTCTTTTCCTAAGTGAGTTGAGATTTTTATGATTCTTTGTATGCCAAGTAATTTTTGTTTTTATCCTGGATGTTTTTAAAAGTAACTTATGAGACTGCATCTTGTTTATATGTTATCTGTGGGCTATGGTTTTAGTGTCACCTTTGAAGTCTTAGCAACGATGATCCAGTCTCTCCCATGTTAGTTAGTTCACATCTGGGTAGGGGTTTACTGGCTAGCATAATTTTAAAGTTTGGTATGATAATTAGTAGTAGATCCAGGTATGTAAATGATGGGGTAAACACATGTGTTCATAAACAACTTTATGGTAATACTTTCCTGCTCCTCTCTCCTGTTACCTAACCAGTATTTCCTGCTTACTGAAGATTCCTTTCTCAGCAGCCAGATATTGTACACTTCATGATTGTGCCATATCCAAGTGGCTGGAAAATAGAGAAGGTGGTAAAGAGCAACTGGGTCTGACCCTGTCCTATTGGAACCATGGTTCTACTTAACTGAGAAGTTTCCCCTCCCTCAGTATTTTGGCTTTTGCAGGATTCCCTTTCCTTTCTACTCTTGCCACCATCCCTGCCACAAGACTCCTAAGGGGTTGGGACACAAAGGGACAGCAAAAAAAAAAAAAAAAAGAAAAGAAAAGAAAAAAGAAATTGGCCCATCCACACTCTCTCAGAGCTTTAAGGTTGTTTTCTTTTGCATTCCTCAAGCCAGAACTACAGAGTTTCTCCTTAATCTCACTCTATCTGCACTATCAGGGTTTGGATACTTTGTGTTCAGGCTAAGAGGATACAAGGGGTGAAAAATGATAAACCCAGTGCTGGCTCAGTGATACTTCAAAATATGGTGTTCTTTCTGATGCAGCTGCTGATGTTTACTTTTTATTGTTCTCCAGGTTTAATAATTGAGTTCAGTGGGAAATGAAACCAGAGGTGAGGGGTGGGAGATGGTTTATTCCATCATACCTAGAAAATAGAGATGTTTCTTTTCTCCTTTTCTGAGCTTCAGTTGTCTATAAATCTGAAAATAAATACTTTTTTTTAGGAATTCTCCTTTACATTCAAAGAGAGGCAATGGGGAAAAGACACTATGTATCTGTGAGAAAAGAGATCATATAAAATGTTTTAAGGGTGTAGTTGCAAGAAACTTCATTTATCTACATAGATATTCAAAGACAGTTATCTAAAAACATTCCAAGGATAAAGTTGGATGCACTATGTAAATTCTGCCTCCTCTTTTTAGGTAAAAAGAATATATCAAAACATGTATTGTATGGAAATTGACCATATGCTGTCTACTTTTAACCTGCTAGAAAAGCGTGATACATTTTCAAAGTCACTGAGTGGAGGAATGAAGCGCAAACTCGCCATCATCATAGCACTCATAGGGGGCTCCCAGGTATTAAGGAAAAGAGGATGAAAAGGGGGAGTGAGGAGGCATGAACCATGGGTTCCTGCCAACTGGTCTAGAAAACTCAGCTGACAAAACCCTGAGAGTTGGTATGAATCTTAAAGAAATGCTGCCAATGATAATTATAAGGAATTTGCATTATTTGGTTCAATTCTCATAATATGATTTGGGACTATCTTTTTTCTGGGGTTTTTATCACTATGTACAGTCTAGATTCTTTATCTTAGCTTAAATAATAGCAATTATCTCACAAGTAGCCTAGTATCAATTATCAATGGTCAAGGAATTCTTCTGGTTTTTAGGTAGTGATACTTGATGAACCATCATGTGGCTTGGACCCAGTCTCAAGGAGAGCCACCCGAGATCTCCTTCAACAGTATAAACAGGATCGTACGATCTTAGTGGCCACCAACCACATGGATGAAGCTGATCTCCTGGGTGACCGAATTGCCATCATGGTCAAGGGAACACTGCAGTGCTGTGGCTCTTCTGTCTTCCTGAAACAAATATATGGTTCTCTCTCCCTTTGCTCATTCTTGGGATATTGATGCTTTAGTAATATTCTGCTAACATGATTTTAATTATATGTTGTCTACATAGCCAAAATTTCAGTGGCTCCCTCTGTCCTACTAATTAAATCTCAGCAGTTCTAACTGGTTTTTAAGGCCATTTGCAACAATATATATTGCAACCAATATATATAAATATATATATTTATCATTTGTTCTCCAACACGTACATTCAGACTCACAAAATATCAACCTACAAAATTGTCAACCTACAAAGGCCATGCTTATTTCTCCCATTTTGCACTTACAGTTTTCTTTTTCTGTAGAATATAGTTGTATCCAAATAGATTTACATTGTTGAATAATTAATTGGTTGATGAGGAAAGGAAATAGAGAAATCAGTCATGTCTGATCCTAATTACTCATTTGCCAAACAAGTATTAAATCCCCACTGTGATGAGATAATGAGATAACTCTAAAGTATGATAATTGACAGTAAAGATGTAGTACAGAATGAAAGTACCATACACCATTCAACTATAGAATAAAATAGTTGTTGGCTTTAATTAAAGTAGAGGGCTTTTTTAGGAGATAAAACTGATATATCAAACAGTGAATTATTGATGACTAAAATTACAATAGTGGGAATTCAAAATTTGAGGGTATAAATATAAATGTAGATAATAAGAATGAATTGGTTCATCATTCACTTATTCCATATTTGAATTCATTCAACTCACATTATTTACTCAATGCTAGCTATTGTGTTACTGACTTTACATGTCATATTTAGTATTCAAAACAACCACCTCATTTTATAGAATATAAAACTGGGCCCTAGATAAATTTTTAAAAATTATCTAAAGTCATATTTATATGCCCATTTAGGAATTCAAAATTTATGTTAACCTTATGGGTTTGAGTTTGTGCAGTTGACTTATAATCCAAAATTAGATTTATCTGAAGTGGGTATACCTAAATTATGAGCCACGTCATTTAAATAGTTATGCTTTTGATAAAGAAGTCATTTATAATTTCTAACAGCATTCACTTATGTTACTAATTATTGATAAGATAGTACATGATGCATAAGTAGGTATTTTAAAAGGTCTAATACTTTGGAATATTCCAGTCCCTTCTTACATGCTAAACTTTAAATATACTTAAATTGACTTCTTACATCCTAATCAAAAGCCTAGGATTTTTGTTTGCTTCCTTGATGGCATAAGACATTAAATGTTGGTGTTAGCATTCAACTCTCACTAGCTACCTCAATTCTCTCCAAAAGGAGGCATTTTCTATTCAGTTTCAAGAGCATGAGACAATTGTGTCATGATTCCTGAGAAATGAAAAACAATTCACCTGTCGATTTGTAAGTAAAGCAAAAGTAGTTTTTGGTTTCAATAGCTAATAAATAATGGATAAACCACTTTATTCTCAGGATGTAGTTGCCTCTTTGTAAAATGTAATAATGTCTTCCATTCAATAAGCCAAGTAAATAAACCAGACTGATAAGATAGATAGATAGATAGATAGATATTTAATATATATATATTTAAAAAGTGAATATTGGGTTTTTAAGTATATATATATATATACTTAAAATAAAACTTATATATATATATATACTTAAAAACCCAATATTCACTTTTTTAATCTTAAGAAGAAACAAATGCAAATAGAATGACCATTTAAAAACGTTTATTTAAAAATAATGATGGTTTTCTCTAATTCCAGAAATAATTTCTCTGTATAGGGGAAACACTAAGTGTAACAGTTCCCTGATGTCTTTAAAGTCACTAGTCAAAAATCCTATTCTCAGGTTTCTTTCAACACTTACTATATCCCTTTTCTGATTTTTTTTTCTAACACAGTATATATTTTAACTTATTCCTCTTTATTATTATCTGCCTCCTTTGACTAGAAAGTAGCTCTTAAGAAGGCAGAATTTTAATATGCTTTGTTTGCTGCTCTATCCCTCGAGCCCAGTTAATGCCTGATATACACTGAACAACCAGTAATAATAAGTAAATATTTGTCAAAATTACAGTTTCAAGAGTAATAGGTAGCCAGATTATAGGGGACTTTCTTCATACATCTTTCTTCATACATACATACATACTTTTTCATACATCTACTGTTTCAATAATAACTAAGTTATTGTACACTAAGAAAATTATAGAGGGAGTTGGATGTTTATACAATATCTTGGTTCTTGGAGTAGCATTTGAAAGTTTTAGGTGTGAGCCTTCCTTGGGTCATAAAAAAGTATCTCATGACATTCCATGTCTTCTTTGTGGACCTAGGTAACTTGAACCATGAAGAGCCAGGTTTGGAATTACAAGGAGATCAAAAAGTATGAAAATGCTTCATGTGGTCTTTTAAATTATTTCTCTCAGGTGCTGGATATCGCATAGTCATGGAGAAGGAATCACATTGTGATGTTGAAAAGATCTCAGAAATAATTCACTCTTATATTCCAGAAGCCACTGTGGAAAACTTTACTGGAGCTGAACTATCATTTTTCCTACCCAAAGAATATACACAGAGGTAAAGAGTCAAAGTTTTATATGGATGATTTGGGTGACCAGAAATCATTTTTAATTTTCTATGTTTAGCAAACTTAGTGAGTAATATTTTGCCAATAAGCCAGGTGTCCAATTACAGCTGTCTGTTGCTGACTAGATTTGAAAATTTTGTAGCTGAAGACTTCTCTCATTGAACAAAAGGATTTCCTCATAAGTTTAAGTTCACACAAAGCTTATTTGATTTTTTAAGTGTTTATTTAAATTCCAGTTAGTTAACATACAGTGTAGTATTAGTTTCAGGTATATAATATACTGATTCAACACTTATACCCAGTGCTCATCACAACAAGTGTACTCCTTAAACTCCATCATCTATTTAACCTGTCACTCTAACAATATACCCTCTGGTAGCCATCAGTTTGCTTTCTATAGTTAAGAGTCCGTTTCTTGATTTGCCTCCTTTTTTTTTTTTTTTGCTCATTATTCATTTGTTTCTTTGTCTTTTAAATTCCACATATGCAAGGAATACAAAACATTAACTCCAAGGAATACATGCTCCCCTCCATGTTTATAGCAGCACTATCAACAATAGCCAAATTATGGAAATATCCCAATATCCACTGACAGATGAATGGATAAAGATGTGGTGAGAGGAGTTAAGATGGCAGAGGAGTAGTGGGACCCTAAGTTTGTCCCATCTTTCAAACACAACTAGATAGTTACATAATTCTGGACACCTGAAAAAACAATTAGAGATCTGAGAAAACAAATGTTGCAAATCTACAAGTAGAAAAGCAAACAGCCTTTGGAAGGTAGAAGTTGCAGAGACTTGAATCCAGTGTGATGTAGCTGAGAATATGTTGCAGGGAAGAAAGCCTGCCTAGTGAGGCTACCTCAAAGTTTTACAAGCAGTAGAGTGTAGAATTGGAGCTTTTAGAAGTTTGCTACCGTAAGGGATGTGCCTGGCTTAAAGGAGCTCAGGTAGTGAAGCAGGGTGGAATCCCAGGTGTGACAATGTGGTCTGAGGTTTCCTGGGGTGACAAGAAGAACAGATGGTGCCTGAGTGCCACAGAGTTACCAAGCATAAGAGCATGGAAGCCAGCTGAGTTTAGGTGCCAGCTTTCTGCTCTGTGTTGCCATAAACTACGAACTGCTGTGCATTTCTGTGACTGCTTTCCTGAGATGGGTCCAGCAAAAGGCAGAAGCATGGCAAGACCTTCCCCAGGATGAAGAGAATGAAGAATGCAGGTTCACATGGGGGAGTCCTTAAGGTTTAGAGTTTTGAAACTTGCATGCCTGAGATAAAAACCCTCAGTCAGGCCAGGTGAACAGAGAGTTCTGATGGAAACTGGGGAGACAAGAGTGATTGCTTTTCCTTGAAGGCTCACTGAAGAGTTAGGGGTGGGGAGTGTGAATTTTCAGCTCCATATTCACCATTTTTCTTTCTTTCTTCTTTTGGGATCTAGTTTATTGTAACAAACAGACCAAAACACACGCAGTATCCAGTTTTTGTTGTTGTTGTTTTTCTTTCTCTTTATTCTTTTCTAGACAGAATGACAAGATGGAAAAATTTGTCCTAAAAGTAAGAACAGGGGATGCCTGGATGGCTCAGTTGGTTAAGCTGCTGCCTTTGGCTCAGGTCATGATCCCAGGGTCCTGGGATCCTTGCATTGGGCTCCTTGCTCAGCAGGGAGCCTGTGCCTCTCTCTGCCTCTGCCTGTTGCTCTACCTGCTTGTGTTCTCCCCACTCCTGACAAATAAATAAATCTTCAAAAAATAATAATAAAAGTAAGAACAAGAAGTAGTACAGGCAGGGATTTAATCAATATAGATATAAATAAGATGTCTGAACTAGAATTTAATGTGATTACGAAGATACTAGCTGAGTTGAAAAAAGCATAGAAGACACTGGAGAATCACTTACTATAGAGATAAAAGAACTAATATCTAGTCAGACAAAATTAAAAATGCTATTACCAAGAAGCAGTTCCAAGTGGAGACCATAAAAACAAAATGAACAAATCAGAAGAGTGAAATCAGTGATCTAGAAGACAAAATTATGGAAAATAAGGAAGCTGAAAAGAAGAGGGAAAGAAAACTATTAGATCATGAAGGTAGATTTAAAGAACTCGGCAATTCCATGAAGTGAATATGAATATTATAGATGAAGAGTAGGAAAAGGGGCTGAAGGTTTATTTACCCAAGTTATAGCTAAGAATGTCCCTAATCTGGGGAAGGAAACAGGCATTCAACTCCAAGAGGCACAAAGAACTCCCCTTAAAATCAACAAAAATACATCAACACTTTGACATACTATAGTGAAAGTTGCAAATTACAAAGATAAAGAGAAAATCCTGAAAGCCGTTTGGACAAGAGATCCTTAACGTACAATGGTAGACACACAAGGCTGGCAGCAGACCTGTCCACAGAGACCTGGAAGGCTAGAATGAACTGGTATGATATTGTCAATGTACTAAATGGGGGGAAATATGCACCCAAGAATACTTTAGCCAGCAAGGCTGTCATTCAGAATAGAAGGAGAGAGAAAGGAATGTTGGAAAAGAAAACCAAAGTTGGAGGCATCACAATTCTAGACTTCAAGCTGTATTACAGAGCACCAATCACGAGACAGTATTGTACTGACACAAAACAGACACATAGAACAATGAAACAGAGAACTCAGAAATAGACCCTCAACTCTCTGGTCAACTAATCTTTGACAAAAAGTAAAGAAAACCCAATGGAAAAAAGATAGTTTCTTCAACAAATGGTGTTGAAAAAATTGGACAGCCACATGCAGAAGAATGAAACTGGACCACTTTCTTACACCAGACACAAAAATAAATTCAAAATGGAAATCAAAATCCTAGAGGAGAACACAGGTGGCTACCTCTTTGACCTCAGCTGCAGTAACTTCTTGCATGACACATCTGGGAAGGCAAGGGAAACAAAAGCAAAAATGAACTATTGGGACCCCATCAAGATAAAAACCTTCTACACAGCAAAGGAAACAGTCAATAAAAGGCAACCTATGGAATGGGAGAAGAAATTCACAAATGAAATATTACATAAAGGGCTAGTGTCCAAGCTCTATAAAGAACTTAACAAACTCAACATCCAAAAAACCAAATAATCCAGTCAAGAAATGGGCAGAAGACATGAACAAACATTTCTCCATAGAAGACATCCAGATTGTTAACAGACACATGAAAAAAATGCTCATGAAAAAAACCTATGCCCCAGCTATTGTACTATTAGGTATTTATCCAAATGATAGAAACATAGTGATTCAAAGGGGTACCTGCTCCCCAATGTTTATGGCAGCAATGTCCACAATAGTCAAAATATGAAAAGAGTCCAGGTGTCCATTGACTGATGAATGGATAAAGAAGGGGTGAAGAGGAGCGCCTGGGTGGCTCAGTGGGTTAAAGCCTCTGCCTTCAGCTCAGGTCATGGTCCCAGTGTCCTGGGATCGAGCCCTGCATCGGGCTCTCTGCTTAGCAGGGAACCAACCTGCCTCCTCCTCTCTCTCTCTGCCTGCCTCTCTGACTACTTGTGATCTCTATCTGTCAAATAAATAAATAAAATCTTTAAAAAAAAAAAAGGGGGTGAAGAGGTGGTTGTGTGTGTGTGTGTATATGTGTGTGTATATATGTGTTTGTGCATAATGGAATACTGCTCAGCCATAAAAAGAATGAAATCTTGTCATTTCCAATGAGGTGGATGGAACTAGAGCTTATTATGCTAAGCAAAATAAGTCAGAGAAAGAAAAATACCGTATCATTTCATTCACTTGTGAATTTTAAGATACAAAACATATGAACATGGGGGGAAACAAAAGAGGGGCAAACGAAGAAACACACTCTTAACTACAGAGAACAAACTGAGGGTTACTGGAGGAGAGGTGGGCAGGAGAATGGGTTAAATTGGTGATGGGTATTAAGGAGTACACTTGTGATGAATGCTGAGTGTTGTATGTAAGTGATAAATCACTAAATCCTGCACATTAAACTAATATTATACCATATGTTAACTAATTGGAATATAAATAAAAATTTGACAAATGAACAAAATTTATTGATTAATGAAAAAAAGATTGTATTTCTGTGGTGTTGGTTATTTCTCCTCTCTCATTTGTGATTCTATTTATTTGAGTCCCTTCTTTTTTCTTTTTGTTAAGTCTGGTGAGAGGTTTTTCAATTTAATTTTTTTCATAGAACCAGGAACGGTTTCATTGATCTGTTATTTTTAGCTTCTGTATCATTTATTTCTGCTCTAAGCTTTATTATTTCCCTTCTTCTGCTGTCTTTAGGCTTGGTTTGTTTTTTTCTTTCTCTAACTCCTTTAGGTGTAAAGTTAGGTTGTTTATTTGAGATTGTTCTTGTTTCTTGATGTAAACTAGTATTGCTGTATACTTCCCACTTAGCACTGCTTCTGATGCACCCCAAAGGTTTTGGACCATCATGTTTTCATCTTCATGTACTTTTTATTTCTTATTTTATTTAATGGTTGACCCATTCATTGTTTAGTAGCATGTTGTTTAAACTCCATGCATTTGTGTCCTGTCCAGATTATTTTTTCTTTTTTTTTTTTTTTGACTTCTAGTTTCATAGTGTTGTGGTGGAAAATATGCATGGTATGATTTTATCTTTTTGTATTTGTTGAGGCCTGTTTTGTGACCTAATCTGTGACTTATTCTGGAGAATGTTTCTTGTGCACTTGAAAAGAATGTGTATTCTGTTTTAGGATAGAATGTTTTGAATATATCTGTTAAATCCATCTGGGTCATTCAAAGCCCTTGTTTCCTTCGTTTATTTTCTGTTTAGATAATATGTCAATTGATGTAATTGGGGTGTTAAAGTCCCCTACTGTTAATGTATTATTTTTAATTAGATGCTTTATATGTATTATTAATCATTTATATATTTATGTGCTCCCATGTTGGATACATAAATATTTACAATTATTTTGTCTTCTTTGGGGATTGTCCCTTTTATGATTATATAGTGTGCTTCTTTGTAA